TCCAGTCTATCGTCGATGTGCACTCCCAGGTACTTGTACGAGTCCACCATCTCCACGCCACTCCCATGGATGTAGACAGGAGTAGGTTTGACCTTTTTCCTCCTGAAATCTACCACCAGTTCCTTTGTCTTTGTTACATTCAGTTCCAAGTGGTTCACCCCTCACCACTCCACAAAGCTGCTGTCCAGTCCTCTGTACTCCTCCTCCTGCTCACCCTTGATACATTACACAATTGCAGAGTTATCTGAGAAGATATGAAGAGTGCAGAATGAGAGGAAGAGACTTGCCTAGTTGCCAGCTTCACCTCCTCTGAACAGTTGATGTTGAAACATCTGTACTTCTAGTTGCTTCTGGTTTCGCAGACTTTTGACTCTAATGAATGTATTGTCTGATTCTGAGGTCACCTTTGTCCTGCCAGACCTTTATCGGTCCTTATGAGTGCCAGTTTCTTTATATCTTTTGATAGTCTTGGCCACAGCTCTTACTGACACTTGCAAAGTCCTTGCAATTTGCAATTTGTCTTAAAGATTGACCTTCATTTCCTTAAAGTAATTATAGGCTGTCTTTTTTCTTTGCTTGCTGAACAAATTTTGCCATGTTCATTCAGGAATTACAAACTTTTGCCCATGCTCCCTATATTTATAGTAGTCGTGGACCCTCACCAGTTTATCAATTATTGGTGACAAAAGGTAAATGAGGTAACATGCTAGTTAACTTGGGTGTTCATTTAATTGAAAATGAAAAATTAACATTTTTAATGCAGTTCACTTAAGATTATAAGTATACATATCATGTAATTAAATATTAAGTGTTTGTAGACAGGGTTATACAGTTTAAAGCACAGGTTATCATGAAAAACCTGGCTTCAAGCAGGTGTACTCAAACTTGACTGGTACTGTGCATACTGTACGTATTTCCCATGGCTGTAGGGCTAAACCCGTCAACAGCAACTCTCAGCAGCTGGTGTCTGAATTCCTACAGTACAGTGAAAGCGAAGTGACAAAGGTACCTCCAGATAAGCCTGTCCCAGCAGTTCACCTGCTCACAGAACATTTGGAGGCCCAGGAACTAATTCCCCAGCAAACAAAGAAAAAGCAGGTAAAACGTGAGACAAACTATGTCTTTCATTATGTTTGGGAGAACTGAAGTGTATTATTTCAGAAGAACATCAAAGTAGCACAAAATCTGTAAACTTAGTGTTCATGCTTAGATCTCTGAAATTGAGCTTAATTGATTTAATTTTAAAATTGTGACAATTATTAATCAGTAGTCAAAGTGGAGTTCTATGATGCTGTATGAGGCTGATACTGTATTCCAGGAAAACAATTCCTATTGGTATTTGTTTCACAAACCTGCCTAAGGTGTTTTTTTGAGGAATGTAAATGTGTGAATCCATAGGCTTTGGACAGACTGGATGTTTACTTGTCATAAGACAAGGTGTGACAGCCCCATCAGGGGATCACACCTTGTCTTATATTCATTGTCAGAAAGCAGGTATGCAGAGGAGCACTGGCCAGACTGCAGAGGAGGGTCACTCACATGAACTCCAGGTAAGTAGAGGAGACTTCCCAAGACAGAGGTGTTTCCAGTTCAATCTTGGATAGTGAACAGGCAACACTCAGCATTGCAGTAATATGAAGCACTCAGAGATTTTTTTTCAGTGATACTGCAACATCATTTTTATAAGAAATACTTTATGAAAAAATCCATAAATTGACATATAAGAATGTGCACATATGGATAATGTTTCAGTCATTCAGTTGTACCACATTACAGCGGTGATAAATACACAATGTATGTAAAAAAGCATCATTATTCCCAGCATTTACTGTATTGCTGGGGAAGCTGCAAAGTTGTCAGAGCCTGAGGAACTGTGAAAAAGGGAGAGAATGTTTAATATGTGTTCCTCAGGTGCTGACGACTTTGCAGTGACAACGTGTATTTCCAAAACCAAGCCCTCAAAATACACTCTTTTTTCATCAACAGAGGATACCCCACCCATATTATTGAAGGGCCCTCAGCCCTCGGATCATCAACTCAATCAGGAACTCCTGGCCTCACAACTGCATTCTGTTGGTGCTTCCCTACCACCCTAACACACTTTTTATCCCCAGGACCATCAATGACAACTTCCCCATCTTACAGGATGATCCCTCCACTGGTACCCTTTTTTCTGACCGCCCCATCATCTCATATCACTGACAACCTAATCTGCGAAATCTTCTTGTTCACAGCTCCCTTGACTGCCCTCAGCAATCATCCACACCAGGCACCTTCCCCTGCAACAGAACTCCCTGAATATATATCTAATACCACTCTCATTCAATGCCCCACTAGACAATTCCGGTTCACTCAGATGACATCTTGCACCTCCAACAACCTTGTTTACTGCATCTCTTGCAGACAATGCTCAGCTATCTACAGTACGTTGGAGAAACAGGAAGGAGACTGGGAGACCACTTCAGGGAATATGTCAGGGCAGTGACGATCAAAGATCTCTCCAAGCCCATAGTTTCTCATTTTACTTCTAACGGCTACAATCACATTGATCTCTCTGTCTTCATTCTCAAAGAAGGGTTTCTCAACTCCCATTGCAGAAAGACATCTGTAACCAAAATTATCCTGAAACTAGTATCACACCACCCTCCTTCTCTCAACAACAGACTCTTTCCTTCTAGTCCTCTCTATTAATTTGCAGGTCTCAAATTCACACCTCTCTTTACCCCACCACCCTGCTGGTGCCTGCTCTGCTTCTGTCCTGCTCCCACCTACTCTCCGCTCCCAGCTTTTGTTCTCCCACACTTTATCAGCTGCTGACTTTCCTCTATTTCTCACACCTCTCCAGAAGAAGTCTCCACAGCTGAAATGTTGTGTTTCTTTTCAACATGGAATAAACCTTTATTTGCTCCTTTGCATATCTAACTTTAGTCTGCTATGGGAATGCTCAGGGACCCAGGCCCGCTCTCCACCATTGTGAGAAAAGAATTGCAGAGCTGGACATCAGTTGGCTTGGAGAGTGTAGAGGAGGAACTTAAACAGCTAGATCCAACATACTCTGGAATTGTCCACCAATCTCAGCTCCTTCTGGCCTTCTTACGGCAAGAAGCTCCGCTCCTGTTGTCAACTATGAGACTTCTCCTCAAGACCTTTGCTGACCCAACCAATCCAGAGCAGGTAAAAACTCAATGATGGTGATAACAATCATTACTATTATTAAGAATAATATAAAAGTGTATCTTAATTTTCAAAATTTTAAATATTTACAATATTTAATAAAATATTTATTTTTAACTCTTTTGTCAGGTGATTTACTTTTTCATATAGGCTTTATTTGTTAATATTTGTGATAAATCTCATCTGTGGAAATCACACATGCAGTAGCAGTAGTTCTTGTCAAGATTCTTCTGAAGTGATTTATTCTATTTCTCTAAACTATGTAAGACATTAAATACAAGTGGCATGGAAATGTGAATCGAAAAAATGCATATTCTATACACATCCCAAAAAAAAAACAGATATTGTATTGTCCTGCCTAAATATACAAATGTGTAAATTGGTAATTTTTTCACAACAATCACATACTGTAGGTGCACTATAGGCAGCTACTAGATCTGATTGCTGGAGCTGTGAAGACCGAAGGACAGAAAGTAAATATAGAGACACATTGTTCAAGAACTAGTGATGACCAAGTACTGTCAGCAGCTGTAACTCCAACTGAAATAACTGACATTGCAAGGTATGTGTATGTTTATTATTTTGTTTGTTACACATTTAACAGAAATTTATGATTTTTTAGTTAAAAAAAACTATAATCCGACTTTTAAGGGGAAGTCTTGAACACCACAATTCTTCTTTCCTATAAAATTAAGTAGTGCCTTTTAACAGGATTGGCAGCTTCTGTAATAGATAAAATTGGTCAGACTCTACTGTTGAGCATACTGTATACTAAGTATACATTTTCTTGTTTTTATTAAGCAGAACAATCATAAAAAATGGGGAAGGCACACAATCAGTTTATCAACAAGTAACAAAGGATTATCAGGTAAACTTGGATGCAGTAAGATGTTTCAAAAGAATCCCACACAAACCTGGCATGCACACAGCACACATTTGACATACAGTAGTGTATTTTTTGTGTGTTTGACTAAGAATGATTAAATTAATCCCTTCATCGGTGCAACCCAGTTCTAATTGAAGATGTATTTTTTATTTAAAAAGTTTGCATTAGTAGTAAATTATTAAAAAAACTTTACTGTTCTGATTTAATGGAAAGTAAGGATTCATTTGAAATGGTACAATTTTAAGAATACACTAGAATTGGGAAACACAAAGATTATTCAATCCAAAGACTTATGATTTAGGTTTGTTAGTGCAATAAAACTATCTCTTGTTTGTTTCTGGTTTTGCAGACCAATGATGAACAAGTATATGCAAAGAGCAAGAATGTAAGGCCACAGATCCAGAGGTTTTCCAAGTCTACAGGCAGTGAGAGGCAGGGAGAGATGCAGCTCCCCACATATGGAGAAACCTGGCTGCAAAGGTTCCAACGAATGGAAAAAGGCTTGCACATGTGCGACTACAAAAACACAGGTACTAAAAGACCAGAGTTCCAAACTAAGGTTTTCACACTTAAACCAATTTTTGGGTGCCTTAAAATATTTTATCATGCTCATCATTGCTATAAAGCATTTCAGAAAATTAAAACAAACTTTTCTCGTCAACAAAAAAACTTTTAAATATCACGAACAATGAATCAGTGGATTAAAGATTTTTTTGCATTCTTCATTTATTTTCACATGATGCTCAGTTCAGCATGATTCCTATACTTAAAAACACACATTGCTGCATCACTGCTGCAAAGCTAGTTATAGCAGTTTACAGTACGTCACTGACTCAAGCCACAAGCTGCATGACTGCTGTAAGTGATTGCAGCTGGGGAGCTGTATAACAAATACCACTCAACAGCAAGAGTCAATGGACTTACAGGACACATAACAAGGATCATTCTGCAAGCTTTTTTGAAAAACTCTTCCTGGGATACTATTTATGTATATAGTATATACTGTATAGTTTATCTCCCAAAACAGAGTCATAATGCTCAACATTAATGAATTAATGCTCAAGAGCATTAAATCCTGAGTCTGCTGAGGTAGGTTATAAATAAGAAAGAATGTTTAAAGCTTAATAAAAGTGTCTAAGATTTTACAACTCTTTGTTTTTGATTGTTCTATGCTTAGCCATGTGTATCTATGACTATTTGTCTGGGTTTTGTCTTTCTTGTCAGACAAGTGAAGTGAACTTGTATAGTAAGCATAGATTGCATTCTATGCTCAAGAAATTTCAGTAAAAAAATTAAATTAAATAAATAATTAAATTAAAACTTTTGAGCTTAAAAATAAAATGCTGTACAACAGCATAGGGAATTATTCGTTTCACCACTTAGCTGCAACATATACATTTGACCACATTCATCCAGGGCACTGAGGTATCAGGTACAGTCAGAGGTGTGATACAAAACCCAGTAAACTGTTTCAGAGAAATTCCAAGAAAATATTCATAGTTTGAAATGCCACTGAAGATATCAATTATCCGTGCCTTCCTACACATATAATTCCTACTGTATATTTGTGTAACAGTGCCAGACAAATGAAACAAATTCCAGGTTATTATTGACTTGTTCAACAATAGGCAACCTTGACTTTTCCATTCTATTAATTGCAAGTCATTGTTGCAGATAATCCTTAATTATGAAAGTGCTCTTTAGTACCTGGATCAATTAAAGAATGAGCATATTTGAAGAGATGAATGGAGCAATTCCTGGAGGGCCCAGTGTTGTCTGGGTTTGGTTCCATTTGCATTCTCAGTTACATAGTGGGTCTAATAATTTAATTAGCTGCAAAACTGCTATCCTAACCAGGCTCCATGAAGATTTATAAGTCTGTACCCTTAATGAAGTGAATGGCTTGTGTAATCAATTTAAAGGACCTTAAGAAAAAATCTATGCATGTTTGAGAAAAGTACATTGATTGTTTGCCTGCTCAGGTTGGAACAAAATCTAGAAGGCCTTCCTAGAACTGTGTTTGTGGCTGTTGGAATGGAGAATTGAACAATTCTCAAAAAACAAAGCAGCCATGACATAACTATTACATAATCGAAGCACATCTGATCTACATTTGTAATTTTATTCAGATCACAATGCATAGCACAAATTATTAATCTGAATCGTTTCAAAAGTTCTCATACAGTGATTTCCCAATTCATTTGGTAAATGATTATGCTTTATAACTTAATAATTTGAGGACTTTGCTTATGTTTACAGGCTACCTTGAGAAGGATGAAGCAAAACGTCTAATCCACAATTACAATCTCATTTTCAACTTGAATTTGAGTCCCTTGAAAATTAGTGAGGGACTTCATACTTTTCAATCTGAAGGGGTAGTCAACTTGGATTCATTGCTGCATTATCTTAAAGAATTGTGACACTTGTTGTGAAAATACATAGAACCACATTGTATATGATGAGTGGATTTTATTTCTTTTTAAAAAACTACAAGTTGTTGTACTTAGACTGGAGCTGATTATGTTTCTTAAAATATTATGAATCTCATTTCTGAAATCTGTTTTTAATCTATGTGCAAAGTAAACTGACACCAGGGTTACTCTTTTCAAGAAACGCCCTGGAATTTTTAACAACCACAGAAAGTTAGGACCTCAGTTTTACATCTCATCTGAAGAATGGAGACTTTTATAGTATAGTATAGTCACTATATCGGGGCATCAGGGCCCACACAGACTGCAGAGACTGCAGGCTGAGCACCCCCTACTAGCCCCACTAACACCTCTTCCAGCAGCAACCTTAGTTTTTCCCAGGAGGTCTCCCATCCAGATACTGATCAGGCTTACACCTTTTTAGCTTCAGTGGGTTACCAGTTGTGAATTGCAGGGTGATATGGCTGTTGGCTATTATTATCTGAATTATCTGAATTTGATGTTGATGTTTGCTCTAAATTCATGTTTAATCAGTTTATAAATACAACAAAGAAATGTGATGGCTTTGTGAATAATGTAAATCATTAAGTGTAATAAAAAGTTTAGGAAAAATCTACAAATCCAGGTTTTGAAGCTCACAATTTTGTAATATTTATTTATTTTATTTGAAGATATGTAATATTTATAAATTTGTAGATGTTCTGCCAATTAATATACAGTAGTAATGTTTATGCAGCGCCCTCGCCTGGCGTTGCGGCCGAAGAGCGCCCGGTTGGGGTGCACGTCAAGGGCAGGATGGGAGTAGTAGTGGCCAGCGCGGGGACTAGGAGAGCCACTGGTTGGTGCAACCAGAACCGATGTTCACAGTCACGAGATCGCCCGGACTCATGTACTGTTAATAGTTTCCCTGGTTTTGCAACCCTTTTATACATGTGCCCAATTACCACTCTATACCTGTGTAAGCAGTGTGTTGTACCGTGTTTGTCTCTTTTTCTCACTCGCCTCCTATTTTGGTGGTTGTGTGTTAAACATACAGAAGAAGAGACTTCTTTTCCAGGTGAATGCTGCACATTGGTGGTAGGGGGGAGTCCACATCAACTATAAATCGCTTTGAGTGGAATGGCCAGAAAAGCCCTATATAAATGTAAGAGATTATTATTATCGAAATAGTCGTGAAATTATGGAGCAAGCTAACCATTTTTTAAAGAAACAAACGGACTAGATTCTGGGATAAATTTCCTACAATAGTACAAATGAAATATTATATAGTTTTGTTAAACAGCTTCTTATTATGGAAGCCCGTTCCGCCAGGGAGTAAAAAAAACGCGCTATGGTATCTCGCAATTGCGACTTAGTATCTCAGAATTTCGACTTTTTTAAAAAAAGGCTGGCAAGACCTGGGTTCGAGCCAATGCAATGAGGCACGAACTAGGTCGGGAGCGGCGAGGGCACAAGCCCTGGAACCCGAATCCGTTACAATAACAAAAGGACAGACAATGAAATGTGGGCTATTTCGAAGTCGCAAATGTGAGATAAGAAGTCGCAATTGCAAGATATAAAGTCGGAATTCTGAGTTTCTAAGTCGCAATTGCGAGATACCATAGCGCCTTTTTTTACGCCCTGGCGGAAACGGGCTTTCATATCTTATCGTTTGCAAACATTATTTTTGCAAGAACAAATAAGGAAATTGGGCAGTCACCCAAGCTTAACTCTAGTCGTGTCTGTCCCTGATAACTTTTTAGTTGGCGCAACAAGTCTGAAATTGTAGATTACTACCAAACAGTAAACTAAAGCTTTCCCGTTGGGGAGGCCGTTTTCTCTAAGATACGGACCTTTATACAGATTCTCTGGTGCGTAACAGGTTATTTAATAACGTCGTCATGGATGTGTTGACTCTGTCCCAGTTAAGTTTACAAAACAATTCACAAAGATCATTACTGTATGTTTGCTACGCCTGAGCGTACTTTGGTCAGCAAGTGGTATTACAACAGAAGTGCACAGTAAACTTTAAAGTCATAGCACAGAGCAAACCTACTGTAACTTTACACACTTCACTTTCGGATATTTTATCTATTTATAATGATTTATCTTCGCATTTTCTTTCATTACTTCTGGGGATGGTTGGACGTTCGAAGTATTCTGTTATTTTCTTTCGTGTTTTTGGTTCATGGCGATGTTTTTAAAAACAAGACGCCGAAAAACTTTCCACCGGGTCCCATGTGTCTACATTTCCTCGGAAATATCTGGGTTTTTGATGCCGAGTAACCTCATCTGTATATGGCTAAGGTACGCTGTATATTTGTTTAAGGTTTAGTAACCGGAGACTGAACACGGGTTAGATAATACTAGGTGAAACGAAAAAAAAAACCACCTGATTTTGCAGCGTTTAATTCGTTTACCATTTGCCTTTTTATTATTCATTTTCTCTGTAATATTTTTAGAATTATTGTTAACGTTCCTCTGTTTTGGGGGATGGGGGTTGTTACAGGTATGTGAGGGTCCTTTAAAACGTGTTTCTGGACGTTTTGGTTTCGGTTAATAACACTAAAATGGAGTTTATGACGACAATCTGGAAGGTATGTCGACAACCAAGTTCAATCAACTTTAGCAGTCAGTAATTTGTAACCATTCCTGATGTCATTTCCTCACATAAAAAACAACAAACAACAATAATAATATGCATAACCCTGTTATTTCTCTCTAAAACTACTTTTGGGACCCTCCCCCATCGTGTATCCACCTTTGCAGCTCCCCTTTGGCCACTCCTCATGGGAGTCGTAGCCTCTCGTCCTATGGCCAGGAGGTTTGCCCTCAGCCAAGCTGGTTATGCCAATTTATTTATTGTGACTAAAACACTATAAACGTTTTAATACTCTTAACTGCTTAATTTTAGAGTGTTGTTATTCCTAGTGAACTGCTATTATGAAATAAAGCAACCTACTTTTCACTACACCTCAAGTACAGTACTGTTTTATTTTGCCACATCTCTATGTATACTGTGGTAATCACAAGTATAATATTTGAAATAAATGTGGTTAATGATTATAAGAAACATACAATACTGAGAAGACAGTGGTTGGTAAATTGAGTAGGATGATAATGCAATACGTGCAAAATGTCTTTTGAAGGGTCTGTGGTTGTTAAAAATGTAATTTACATAGTGTATCATGATGCAGTAATGTAGTAATAACCAGTCAGCTGTGGTACTGTAGTATTTGTACATTATGGAGTTTAAAGGAAGATAAAATCACTTTATTGGCCATATACAATTTCTTGTATTAGGAATTTGTCTTTTCACATACCCCAACTTGCTCTCCATGAGACACACAGACAGGGAGAGAAGCTTGGGGTCAGAGTGCAGGCTTAGTTATTTATATGGCAGCCCTTGAGCAGTTGGGGTTAAGGGCCTTTCTCAGGGGCCCAGCGGAGTAGGATTTTTCTGCCAGCCGCGGGATACAAACCGGCAACTTTCCAGCCACAGATGCAGATCCTTAGCCACAGAGCCACCACACTGTTTCTGCAGTAAACCAAGATATACTATAGTTTAATGGAAGTTCGGGATGACAACAGCCAAGTTCAATCAGAACTTGTGGAATCAATCCTGACATAATTTCCTCTTCCTCTAATACACTATAAATACTGTATGTGATCCCCTTCTCTCCCTCACATATGTCTTTTTGCATGGACTGTGCTATGACCCTGCTTTATCCTATCTTTAATTTCCCGCTTTGCAATGGATATTCCTGTTTGCTGATCCAAATGAATAGTTGTTTTTTTTTTGTCTCGGCCAGGAATCTCCAGCTTTTCACTTTCTGCCTGTACCTGCATGTGCTCCATCTCCTCCTTTGCTGTCTAAGTTCCTCCCTTTTCCAACCCTGTCTTGTTTGTGTCTCTATCCTTGGTGTCCACTTCAGCCCTGTGTTCATTCCTTTCCTCCCCTGCTGCTCCTGATGTCATCTCCTTGGCTCCTGTTCCACTTTTGCTTTACCTACATTCAAGCAGGCACTGTAGCTCCAGGTTGCTGCTGCTTCAGGGTCAGTGCAGCACCTTTTCAGTTACAGTATTATAGCTTGAATCCTTGATAAAATGCCTAACAGCCTGAGATGGGCATCCATTGGACCCCCAGAGGATTATTTTCTCCCCATTGGAGTTTTTGTTTTCCTCTCCACAGTGCCCACGTGGTCATATTCCTACACTAGTTCAGATGGGTACTAGTGTAGCCACTTCTTTTTTTCAGCATGGAATAAACCTATTACTTGTTCCATATTCCTACACTGTCAACTACTTAACTATTTGATGTGCATTCAGTCTTATTTCACAGTCCATAGGAGATAGTGTCAGCCCCTACACTTTACTCTGTGCAACACAATGAAGTCAACAGGTTAATATGCCTCAGCATCCCCTTTGAGCTGGGCGCTCCGGTCCTTCACTACAGTTAACTTCTTGTACATCGCAATACCTGTTTAAACCCCAGAATGACACACTCAACTCACAACAGTAATCCCTATTATCATGCCAGATCTCCCACATCCTCAAAATATTTCCGCTGATCTTGCACTCTCTGCCTCATGAATGCATCCCATTGTATCTTTCCACCTTTATGTCAGTTAAGTTTTGCACATAACGAACTTCTATATCTGCTAGGCCTACCTCACTTGCTTAGAGTAAACCCATACAGATACCCTTAAACAAGCACTCATTCACCTTTCTATCCAACTGCTGAGATGACCCATAGTTCAAGCATCTCACCTTCTTTATGCTTTCCATATTTCTGCATTGGTGGTTCGAGGTGCTGCCTGGTTCTTTTTGGGGGTCCTAGCCTCCTCATCCAATGGGAAGGAGTTTAGCCCTCAGCCAAGTGGGTTAAGTCAAATTTTGATTTAATAATCTTTTCAATACTCTTAATTTTGGGGTGTTTTTATTCCCAGTGAAATGGATTTCATAATGAAAGCTTGGGAGGGATGACAACAACCAAGTTCAATCAGACTCAGTTGTTAGTAATTCGCAATCACACCTGACGTCATTTCCTCTCCTAAAACACTATACTGTACATGATCCCCATCTCTCCCTCTCATATGTCTTTTTGCATTCCACTTTTACCCCATCTCCACCTTTGTAGCTCCCCCTTGGTCACCTCTCCCTCGGCATGGGGGTCATAGCCTCATCATATAGACAGGAGGTTGGTCCTCAGCCAAATTTACTGTGACTGAAACACTCTGTATTGTAAATCTTTCAATATATCTTTTTAATTCTTTGGTGTTTTTGTTCCTAGTGAAGTGTCTGAATGTAAGAACATCTTTCTTTTTGTTGTTCATTCAGTAGGAAGAAAAAATGAACACATTTCCAAAGACTGCAATCTGCTTGCAGACCTCTTG